GGTCACTAAACTGTTGCATTTGAATAACGAAGAATTCAGCGTTCTAGATATAAACGTTATCGCGAGTTTACACATGTACACGGTCAATTTTTATTTTTAATCAACGTCTCTGTCTCAGAAACATTTCATAATCTTAATTGAACTGTAATCGCTCCTTTAATTATGGCAATATCGGAACAGATTGGAACAGCTTCTAATCAAATTGTGCTCGAATGTAGATAATGCCTTCCTACAAGTTGACGTACTTCAACTTGACTGGCCTCGGCGAGCCGATAAGATTTCTGTTGCACCAAAGCGGCATCGAGTTCGAAGATAAGAGGGTTGAATTTGAAGAATGGCCGGAACTAAAAGCTCGTAAGTATAAACATACAAATATAAATGTGTACATAGCATACGTTTAAATATAGTTTGGAAGCATAGAGAGTGCAGAGAAAAATACTGTGACCATTTATTTCACTAATAAAAACAGCAAAAAAGAAAAATAAATTTATTTAACAAATAACGACAAATCTTTGCAGAGATGCCAATGGGCCAACTACCAGTTCTGGAAATCGACGACAAGGTTTTGTACCAGTCGAAGGCAATTTGCCGTTTCATCGCCAAGCAAAATAATCTCTACGGTGCCGACGAGTACGAAGCTTTCCAAATCGACGCCACTGTCGACACCATAGACGATCTGAGACACGGTACTTGTTATAATACGATCGCTGAACTGTTGAAAAAGTGTCCCCTAAATATAGTATTACCGGAGATTCTAGTGCTTAATATTTATTTTATTATTCCTTTCACAGCATTCACGATATACCACTGGGAACAGGATCCAGGTTTCAAAGCGAAACTCAAAGAAGCCGCCTTCCAGAAACTTCCCGTGTATCTTGACAAGTTCAATGAACAGGTCAAGAAGAACGGCGGACATTTTGTCGGCGGAAAGGTAATTATTGCTTTTATTTAGTCAACTCTCGCCAAAGTTCCGCGGTTTTATTTACCTTTCTCACACCGAAACAGACCATTTCGTGTCGTCAATTCGAGTCGAACTTCAGCGTCGACGTAGCAATAAATCACATAGGCGCAGGACCAGCGCAGCGAATTTCGCAGCAACCCGAAATTCGGCATTCTAGGGAAGATTTACTGTACACATAAATCCTCGGCAATTCTAGTGTCAATAATCATTTTAATTTGACCCCTTAACGCACAGTTTTTTTGAAAAGAACCGGCCAAAAAATGTCAATTTTTTGGTGGAGAATTTTGATATACTGCGATTTTGTTCCATGGAAAAAGGCTATATTTTATTCTTGAATAAATAAGCGTTATACAGCTTACAATCCCATGTAAATGATAAATATCAATAGAACGATTTTTTTTCGTTCCTTTCACATTGTTATTTTCAATTCTCGATTATATTCGAGTGTGGGAAAAGTTATAGCAGCATAAAATACAACGCTTGTTTAGCGCGCTCGAATTAACTCGAGCGTACAAGTTAATCTTCGTTTCCGTTTCAGTTAACCTGGCCAGACCTTCTGTGGACCGCGTACACGGACATCTTGTCCGTCATCTCGGAGACGGAATTGAACAAGAACCACCCCGAACTGAAAAAGTTGGTGGAGAAAGTGAAGGCGCTGCCCAACATCAAGTCTTACCTCGCCANATATTTCGACATTATATGTATCACATAAAAGAAAATTCATCGTGGCGCCGCGGACAATTTCTGTAAAACCGGCGTGGAAGTTAACGTGTTAATAATGTTTTTCAGTGCTTGTCCAACGTTCCGGTGGTTCGATCCACAGTGCGCCGTATCGTGCTGGAATTGACGTGGCGGGGATTGAATGTGGCCCAGGATACAATTTATAACGGCCGACTGGGGACTGGTTTTACACAGCACTCAGTTCTACTCGTTAGTAGAACGCGAGAAGTCGTTGTATCAGGTTGTACATCACAGCATCTCGCTAAAATAAACGTAAGTGTATTTATATTATAAAAAGCATTATCTTTAGAAATATTTTTAATCGAAGGAATCTATGTTCTTCGACGAAATTGTATTGTTTTATAAAATTTACCGAGATTCGTTATCCTATTTCATCATAGTTTCACTGTATTCTTGATTAAATTATTCTGTCTCCATTAAATTTCCTTAAAAAAATTATAAACCCGTGTTTAGTGATCACGTATTGTTCTACACAGAGAATATGCGTATTGAAAACCGTATAAACAAATATTATATATATAATAATATATAATATATATATAATATATATAATATAATATATAATATTATATATATTATATTATTTACATGTTAATTCTTAATGTAATCACATTAATCAATTAATAAGTAATAATAAGTTAATAATAATAAGTCGATTACAGTAATTACATAATTATTACGTTTTACAAGTTCTTGAAATGCGGCACTAACATATCGTATAATTAGATCTTATACCAATTAGCCGGTTACAGTTTGCAAGGTCTTATTATCAATAGATATATCAATATATATTTTATTACCAGTAGATATATCAAAACATACAGTATCCTGAGATAACAAATACAAGTAAACCTTCTCGAAAGTTTGCATCCATATTTTCAAACGTGTTAAAACGTAAACCCTTGAATATATCGACTTAAAAACAAAGTGACTTATGCCACTTTCAAAATAAACGGCTCATATATCGAATTAATTTGTACACGATCTATTCTTGCAACAATTTCTCTTGAAGAGATATTCCACCGTAGCGCTGTTATGCTAACAACCACCTAGCGACGCACATAGATTAATACTAACGTCGGCGGGGTATTTTATATTCTGAAGGCATGCTTTTTTGCAAGGTTGTCTCAAATCTCTGACTACGTTTTACATTGGATCAGAACTAAAGTGTTCACCCGTTATTTAGACTTCTTCCTGGTGCGTCGTCGTGTTTGAAAGCAAACAACGGCGAATCAGTGACTGACGACTACGCCTCGTTCTACACGTATAGACAAAATTCAATGTAGTAGTAACGACAGTTTTTTCTCAATATCTCGGAAATTAAGGCCGACAGGCCCCAAATCGAAAGGGAAAAGTTGTTCAGAATATCGCTCTCTATAACTAATTTCAAGGCCGCTGAAATCGGAGGTGGTGCAGGCTTTCAATAAGTTCGCCCATAGTGCGAATCGTATGAAAGTTTATAAGTAAAAGTTTATAAGTAAAGTAAAGTAAAGTTTTGTTTAAAAGTAAAGTAAAGTAAAGTAAAGTAAAGTTTATAAGTAATCGTATGAAATTTGGAAACGTTCATTCGTTTACTTGGGTTGCGAATTCTCGTATGCACGTATCTTTCAGAATATTCCAGAGTGCAGCATTATTGACTGTTACATAACTGATTAAAGCCGCGTCAATCGCTTGGGCGGGCCGGTTCTTCTTCCCGTTGCACGCGCAACAGTAATTGCTGATACATGCTGATACGTACAATGTAATGCAAGTGAGCTGTTAGATCCCAGCGTTGCTAGATCTGCGATGACATTGGTAAAGGAACGTGTGAAACATTCGACGTTAAATCGTGCGAAATATGACTCATGTTGGAGATACGTCATTCTTTAGAATTGAAACATTTCCTTTGCACAGGAAATTCTCCCTAATTGACGCTCAAATTGCACGCTCAAAAATGCAACAGCCTTGCAGCTACTCATGTAAAACCTTGCAGTTTTTATAGTTGTTGACAATTAGTAATATATAAATAATATATAATTAATATATAATATATAATATAATATAATAAATAATATAATAATAATAATAAATAAAATATAATATAATAATATATAATATATATTATATAATATATAATTAATATATAATATATAATATAATATAATAAATAATATAATAATAATAATAAATAAAATATAATATAATAATATATAATATNATTCTTTAGAATTGAAACATTTCCTTTGCACAAGAAATTCTCCCTAATTGACGCTCAAATTGCACGCTCAAAAATGCAACAGCCTTGCAGCTACTCATGTAAAACCTTGCAGTTTTTATAGTTGTTGACAATTAGTAATATATAAATAATATATAATTAATATATAATATATAATATAATATAATAAATAATATAATAATAATAAATAAAATATAATATAATAATATATAATAAATATTATATAATATATAATTAATATATAATATAAAATTTATATTAATAATATATAAATAATAAATAAAATATATAATATATATAATATGATATATAATCTTCCCAAATTATTCATTTTCGTACACAATCTGAGCGTAAATTAGGGAGTTAACTGAATTAAGAATTAAGTGTATTAACAAAAGAATCTATGCGAAATGTCTCCGTTCAGTTGCAACGCTTAAATCTGCAACGATCGAACCGTAGAACGCGTTGAAAAATAGGAAAATATTAATACCAGACGCGTACATATAAAACTACGTTGCATTGTGTCAGATTGGAGACATCTGATTACGCGCCATTTAATTTTAGAACGATCGTTATTTTGCCGTCTTTATACATATATTGTACATTATCAAGGACGTCGCCAGTCGATGTACCTAGTCAGAGTTAACTTTTTGCTCAACAGAATTCGATGATCAGAGGTCTTATTTTAATTACGTACTACGTAATTGATAATACTACTTTATTAATACTACTTTATTAATACTATTAATTATTAATACTACTTTATTAATACTATTAATTATTAATACTACTTTATTAATACTACTCACGTACTACGTAATATCGACTTCTTATCGTTGACTCATAGTGGACGGTCACTAAACTGTTGCATTTGAATAACGAAGAATTCAGCGTTCTAGATATAAACGTTATCGCGAGTTTACACATGTACACGGTCAATTTTTATTTTTAATCAACGTCTCTGTCTCAGAAACATTTCATAATCTTAATTGAACTGTAATCGCTCCTTTAATTATGGCAATATCGGAACAGATTGGAACAGCTTCTAATCAAATTGTGCTCGATTGTAGATAATGCCTTCCTACAAGTTGACGTACTTCAACTTGACTAGCCTCGGCGAGCCGATAAGATTTCTGTTGCACCAAAGCGGCATCGAGTTCGAAGATAAGAGGGTTGAATTTGAAGAATGGCCGGAACTAAAAGCTCGTAAGTATAAACATACAAATATAAATGTGTACATAGCATACGTTTAAATATAGTTTGGAAGCATAGAGAGTGCAGAGAAAAATACTGTGACCATTTATTTCACTAATAAAAACAGCAAAAAAGAAAAATAAATTTATTTAACAAATAACGACAAATCTTTGCAGAGATGCCAATGGGCCAACTACCAGTTCTGGAAATCGACGACAAGGTTTTGTACCAGTCGAAGGCAATTTGCCGTTTCATCGCCAAGCAAAATAATCTCTACGGTGCCGACGAGTACGAAGCTTTCCAAATCGACGCCACTGTCGACACCATAGACGATCTGAGACACGGTACTTGTTATAATACGATCGCTGAACTGTTGAAAAAGTGTCCCCTAAATATAGTATTACCGGAGATTCTAGTGCTTAATATTTATTTTATTATTCCTTTCACAGCATTCACGATATACCACTGGGAACAGGATCCAGGTTTCAAAGCGAAACTCAAAGAAGCCGCCTTCCAGAAACTTCCCGTGTATCTTGACAAGTTCAATGAACAGGTCAAGAAGAACGGCGGACATTTTGTCGGCGGAAAGGTAATTATTGCTTTTATTTAGTCAACTCTCGCCAAAGTTCCGCGGTTTTATTTACCTTTCTCACACCGAAACAGACCATTTCGTGTCGTCAATTCGAGTCGAACTTCAGCGTCGACGTAGCAATAAATCACATAGGCGCAGGACCAGCGCAGCGAATTTCGCAGCAACCCGAAATTCGGCATTCTAGGGAAGATTTACTGTACACATAAATCCTCGGCAATTCTAGTGTCAATAATCATTTTAATTTGACCCCTTAACGCACAGTTTTTTTGAAAAGAACCGGCCAAAAAATGTCAATTTTTTGGTGGAGAATTTTGATATACTGCGATTTTGTTCCATGGAAAAAGGCTATATTTTATTCTTGAATAAATAAGCGTTATACAGCTTACAATCCCATGTAAATGATAAATATCAATAGAACGATTTTTTTTCGTTCCTTTCACATTGTTATTTTCAATTCTCGATTATATTCGAGTGTGGGAAAAGTTATAGCAGCATAAAATACAACGCTTGTTTAGCGCGCTCGAATTAACTCGAGCGTACAAGTTAATCTTCGTTTCCGTTTCAGTTAACCTGGCCAGACCTTCTGTGGACCGCGTACACGGACATCTTGTCCGTCATCTCGGAGACGGAATTGAACAAGAACCACCCCGAACTGAAAAAGTTGGTGGAGAAAGTGAAGGCGCTGCCCAACATCAAGTCTTACCTCGCTAAGCGACCGAAAACGCAATTCTGAAAATGAGAGACGGTCGGGGAGCTCTTTGGTGCTTGGATGATAGATAAGGAGTTTCCGCATAGCAAAAATCTATCGATGATCTTTTGTTTATTTTTTTTCACAAGACAGTCGCACATCTTCTACATGATATGATAGCGATACAAACGTTACGCTAGATTTATTCGACTTGACGAACGAATAAAGAAAGTGGAGTTGCGCGTCGAAAGTACAAAAATAAATACATGTTCGCAAGAAACTGCCTCTATCATTCCTACGAACTCTTCGATCATCGATCGATCGTCGCTCTTAAAATGTTTCACAAGGTTAATGCTGTCTTCGCACGTGTGAAAACGATGGGAAGTATCCACGCGTTGACGCGCGTTTCTCAACTATTTTCGTTTGGTGCGAACGAATGCACGCATAAAGAGCGCGATTCTGTGAAACTTTTGATACACGTTCCTCTTGTTAACAATCGCTGATGTATATGAATCACATTCATGTTAATGTTTATATCTACCGTGAACTCTATACGGAACAAATACACGTTTGCGAATGTAACACGAACGAAACATTTATTTATACAAGCCCTTGTTACTTGCGACGGGCATTTTGTTTTCAACATTACGATTATAATTTAACTCTTAACGGACGACTTCTCGGTCGCCACGGCGTTTCGCGCGGCAGGACGAACGGCGAGTGAGAGGCGACAGTCGGTGTTTATGTTAGATTTCATTATCTCCAACATTGTTCAACGTGCTGTTTTATGAGAAAGTCCCTGAAGTGGTGGCGCAAATTATTTTTCTGTGGACTGGAAATTTGTTTAATCAATTCGTACATTCTCTGCAAACACGTAAAAAGGCAGAGAAACGAACAGCCAGTTACACATTTGAACTTTCGCAAAATTTTGATCAACAAATTGCGAGGAGATTTTCGTCAGCCACGAGATAGATCTTCAAGTTCGACGGCCAACTCTGACGAAATTCGTCTAAACGGGAAACTGCATGTAATTGTTACTGGCACAAAGAAATGTTGCAAAGTTTGTTCCAGTCGAAACAAACCAAAGGGAAGACATGAGACGACCTATTTCTGTGATACATGTCCAGATAAACCAAGAACGCATCTTGGTCAATGCTTTATAAACTATCGCACCGAACGAAACTACGAATCATAATTTTTGTAAAATTATATTCGTAAAAGTGTGAATATAGATAAACTAACGAAATATAACGTTTTGGTAAGATAATTCATATGTAAGATCACTTTATTGTACCATATAAGACACTCGACACATTTGCAAAAATCATCTCGTCCTGCTACCTGACTCTGCCGAAAAAGTCGTCGTCCGCTAAGGGTTAAGAAACACCTCGTGTAATATAAATAGATTCATCGTCGATGGACTGTGAAATCTACGACCTGAACGGATCGAGCCTTTATCATTAACTTTTCACTTTATATCCATTTTTCTGATCGACGCAAACTAGATTAAATTCAGTTAAATTGGATTAGATCGAATTCGATTTAATGAATCGATAGAAAAGGGCAAATTATCCACAGAATCGTGTCGCTTACGACTAGACCACGGATTTTCGTGCGAAATAAAAGACGTCTACGTTAATTGCGAGATGCGGGAAGCACATAAACATTTACGTCTATTCTTAATCGTCTCAATGAACCGACGGCGATACAATAAAATATTATCAAATTCTTTTCTCACGAATTCATGAAATTGGCAGTCTGCCAACGACACAGTCGAGAATGGTAAATTCTCAACAAATTGGTACACGTTGTATAGCAGTCGACCGCGCCATTTTGTTCATCTTCTTAAGTCCTAGCCATTACGATGTTAATCTTAAATTGTAACAGTTTCACGACAAAAGCGAACTCATTTGTTCAAAAGCTATTAATACCGACATTATTTTAAACCGATTTGACTATAAAATGAAACATTTGTTTTGGCCTAATGAGGCTTGTTAATACGATCCATTGGGAAGCACCCCTTAGAAGTTACTCGCCGAAAACAAGCGTCGGCTGATTCGGAGTAACAATTTGGTTCGTCCATGTGCTCCGTCAATTCTGCGCTGTTCGTATCGTTCTCTTCGAGATTTTCCAAACTTGAATTGCTGATTGTGTTCGCGGTCTTGATGCATGGGCCATGGACGGGTCTGGAACTGGCCTGGCAGCGGCAGTACGAAATCGAAACATCGAAGAAGAAATATACATTCGTAATAGGCTTAAATTATTTCATCCTCGCGTTAATTTATTATTTAAACCACGTTAAATTTAACCACTATTATTAACTGAAAATCGGTTTCATTGGGCTTTCGCATTAAAATTAAATGGTCAAATTAAATGCTCCATACTACGAATCGATTGTTTAGAATTTGTTACAATCGTTTGCAATTTGGTTGTCTTTTTTATTCACGAAAATGTTATATTAAACAGCTCTAACAGTCGGAAAAGAAAACGTAAAAAGATTTGAGGCAAAACTGTTTTCTNAATATTATATAATATATAATTAATATATAATATAAAATTTATATTAATAATATATAAATAATAAATAAAATATATAATATACATAATATCATATATAATCTTCCCAAATTATTCATTTTCGTACACAATCTGAGCGTAAATTAGGGAGTTAACTGAATTAAGAATTAAGTGTATTAACAAAAGAATCTATGCGAAATGTCTCCGTTCAGTTGCAACGCTTAAATCTGCAACGATCGAACCGTAGAACGCGTTGAAAAATAGGAAAATATTAATACCAGACGCGTACATATAAAACTACGTTGCATTGTGTCAGATTGGAGACATCTGATTACGCGCCATTTAATTTTAGAACGATCGTTATTTTGCCGTCTTTATACATATATTTTACATTATCAAGGACGTCGCCAGTCGATGTACCTAGTCAGAGTTAACTTTTTGCTCAACAGAATTCGATGATCAGAGGTCTTATTTTAATTACGTACTACGTAATTGATAATACTACTTTATTAATACTACTTTATTAATACTATTAATTATTAATACTACTTTATTAATACTACTCACGTACTACGTAATATCGACTTCTTATCGTTGACTCATAGTGGACGGTCACTAAACTGTTGCATTTGAATAACGAAGAATTCAGCGTTCTAGATATAAACGTTATCGCGAGTTTACACATGTACACGGTCAATTTTTATTTTTAATCAACGTTTCTGTCTCAGAAACATTTCATAATCTTAATTGAACTGTAATCGCTCCTTTAATTATGGCAATATCGGAACAGATTGGAACAGCTTCTAATCAAATTGTGCTCGATTGTAGATAATGCCTTCCTACAAGTTGACGTACTTCAACTTGACTAGCCTCGGCGAGCCGATAAGATTTCTGTTGCACCAAAGCGGCATCGAGTTCGAAGATAAGAGGGTTGAATTTGAAGAATGGCCGGAACTAAAAGCTCGTAAGTATAAATATACGTATATAAATGTACACATAGCATACGTTTAAATATAGTTTGGAAGCATAGAGAGTGCAGAGAAAAATACTGTGGCCATTTATTTCACTAATAAAAACAGCAAAAAAGAAAAATAAATTTATTTAACAAATAACGACAAATCTTTGCAGAGATGCCAATGGGCCAACTACCAGTTCTGGAAATCGACGACAAGGTTTTGTACCAGTCGAAGGCAATTTGCCGTTTCATCGCCAAGCAAAATAATCTCTACGGTGCCGACGAGTACGAAGCTTTCCAAATCGACGCCACTATCGACACCATAGACGATCTGAGACACGGTACTTGTTATAATGCGATCGCTGAACTGTTGAAAAAGTGTCCCCTAAATATAGTATTACCGGAGATTCTAGTGCTTAATGTTTATTTTATTATTCCTTTCACAGCAGTCACGATATACTACTGGGAACAGGATCCAGGTTTCAAAGCGAAACTCAAAGAAGCCGCCTTACAGAAACTTCCCGTGTATCTTGACAAGTTCAATGAACAGGTCAAGAAGAACGGCGGACATTTTGTCGGCGGAAAGGTAATTATTGCTTTTATTTAGTCAACTCTCGCCAAAGTTCCGCGGTTTTATTTACCTTTCTCACACCGAAACAGACCATTTCGTGTCGTCAATTCGAGTCGAACTTCAGCGTCGACGTAGCAATAAATCACATAGGCGCAGGACCAGCGCAGCGAATTTCGCAGCAACCCGAAATTCGGCATTCTAGGGAAGATTTACTGTACACATAAATCCTCGGCAATTCTAGTGTCAATAATCATTTTAATTTGACCCCTTAACGCACAGTTTTTTTGAAAAGAACCGGCCAAAAAATGTCAATTTTTTG